GAATCAAGGGACTGCATCGCAACACAATGGACATTTCGCAGTCCGAGATGTCATTCGCACAATATATATACAAGCAAGCAAACGCCATCTATGGAGTGCAAAGGCTTTTCGTGACGTGACTTCAAGGAGAAGTCAGAAAGAGACGAGGAGGTGGTGCGGAGTCCTCTATTACGCATGTCTTGCATCAGAACCCACTCAATTCAAGCGCGACCTGACGGAGGTCGAGGACGCTCTGGCTGCTCTATGCCCGCTGCAGATTCTCATCTGCGACTGGGACAGGCTTGCCAGAGGCATCGTGACCCAAAGCTCCCTCGACTCCCTGAGCAGCTAGCTGGGCGCGCTCTTCGGGCTCCGCGTACACGGGAGGCTCGTACAATTTCGTTACGCCATCTCTGGAGCCGGATTGATGAATTTACTGTCAGCGTATGTGCTGTAGACGTCCTGACAGCCAGCCGGGATGCCGCTACTCACGCGGCAAAGCCAATCCTTCGCACAACGAACCATACGGGGACCACACTGAGCGCGAAGAGGGCAAAATTTATGCCTGCTACGGCGTCCAGTCGAAGTGATGTGCTGTTGATGCCGTAGCTGACGGCTTGACCTGCTGACTCTGTCGCCCGCAAGATGGAGGCCAGTCTCACCACTTGCTCGTGACCGTTGCCAAAGCCACCAATGATGAAGTACATGAACTCATCTACGTCCCATGACCAAAGGTATGAGCTGCTGCTTCAAACAATTGTTTCACATCGCGCTCACACTGCAGATTGAAGCCAAGCTGGAGGAGCAGGTACAAGGCAAATCCGGAGCTCCAAGGTCCATCAACCCAATCGTAGGTCGGTTTGAATCTGTTGTAACGGTTCATGATGACGACCTGTAGAGCGCCAAAGTGATTAGCCCAGGGTCAAAGGGGTCTCGCGTGATCAGGAGGCTAGCATGTGTACTCACGGCGAAGATCCACCATCCCGCCTGCATGGTAGCGATAGTCAAGAAGCCGGCCTTGGATCGCGTGTTCAGTGACCACTTGCGCCAGTCGAGGAATAGGCCCAGGAGAATCTGAGGTGAGATGACGGCGTCCCCAAGTGAGCTGCGGGGTTGCGGCCGAAAGGCACGAACGCGGTCATCGAGATTTGAGGACAGCACTCACGACTCCCAGTGCGCCCACCACTGCGGACAACAGCGAGCCGAGGGCTCGTGATCTGACCGTGAAGTTATCGGCGGCATATGTGCCAATCAGAGACTCCGAAAAGGTGCCCTGCCACATGAAAGGCAGCACGAGCAGCACCCGTGGTGTCGTCAATGTCTTCCAAGTGTTCTTGATTTCTGCGCGAAGGCTGGAATGCATGCTATGAGGCAAGAAGGAAAGGGTCAATTTCCAGCCGTGAAAATGTTCTGCGCGACGAAAGCTATCCACTCACCGCAGCAGCACCGGGCTGCCATCGGACCTTTGCACCTTCTCTGGAGGGCTGATGAGAGCGGCCACAAAGGGTGCCAGCGCTTGCAGGATGACGAGGACCAAGTAGGTGGACGTGGACACGCTGCCCGCCGTGTTCGCCTGCGCATTTAGTCCAAGAAGAACAGCTCCGCCGACGAATTGACCCATCACGCGGAAGCTGAGCCAGTATGACAAGTAGCGACCACGATTTTTGGGCTCCGGGTACGTCAAAGCAATCTGAAGGGGTGCGACAAGTGAAGAAAGGTTTACATCAGGCGCAAGACACGAATGGGCCGTGCAGCGGCAAGGTCTGAACTTACAGCTCCTTCAGCGGCCCAGAAGATGCCAGCGCTAATACCGCAGAGAGAAGCGCCGAAAGGGATAGACCAGTTTGCCTTGTCGCCGTACTGTGTGGACAAAGATGATAGGTCAGAGAAGGTCAGGTTCGGGAGGGGCTCGCTTCACCGAGCTTCACGCACGTAGCTCTTGCTGTACAGTGTCGCTGCGTAAGGAGCGTAGCCAGTCGTGCCGATGATCAGAGCCTGTCGAGAGGCGCGATAGGGGGGCCCTGCAATGTTCAGCGGCCACCGGGAGTTACGCGCCAGTCCTGTATCGATCACCTGCCGGAGGAGCTCACCGTTTTGATGCTCGTCAGTCGCACAAGAGCAGGCGTGAGCAGACCAGTGACCACCATGAGCGAGAAGGTGGCACTGTTGCTAGCATTCACCAGCTGAGGAGATTGCGTGCCGCCCGCTCCCAATGCTGCGGTCGCCCCCCATAGACCCGGACTGAGAAAACATGCAACGCCCAGGATGGTGATGTTGAAGAATGTGGAGCGAAATGGGTTGCGCTTCACCACGGGCGATGGGCTTTGGAGCGCTTCACCTGCCCCGACATCGCTGCTCGCCTTTTCGCTCGAGTCCGACATGGCCGATGGATGACTTTGTGTGTGTTGTAGACGACTGAAGCTTGCGACGCAACAGAGACGAGATGGGTGATGGTCCGAACGAGGATCGTGGATTGTGATGAGCTACGTTTCTCCTTCTGACTGTGCGAGTGACTGTCAAAAGACAGATCGAGGCACGCAGCATCAATTTAGCGTGCTCAGGGCACCATCCAATCAATCCTTGACCGTGCTGGTCGCTGTGGAACAGCTACAGTAGCGTAGCCTGCCAGAGAGGCGGCTTCATGTACGTGCGCTTCGGTGCCGCAAGACAAGCACAGCTAAAAAAGAGGAGAGAGAGGCGCACCACATTTCATCGCTGCTGATGCTCGATTGGCAATCCGGCAAATTTTCGGCGTCGAGGCCGAGAGGACAGATGTGCGGGAATATGACTGACCGGCTACGAGGCCGCTGCCTAGCTGCTGCTCAGCTTCTGTCTGCGAACTTCACGACTGCTGTATACATGTTGCAATCGCCATGCTGATGACGCTTCCGGGCGAGAGGAGTGAGAAGGTGCTTGTGGAAATGCTACATGGCCACATGAACGGTATCATTGTGATTTGTGGGCCCACATGCAGCATGCAAGGCTCTCATCACGCAAGCGCGGCCCTGACTCGCGTGCCTGGAGGCGCGTGGGTGGAACAAACATCTGCACGAGCCATCCATCTCACATACGCGTGTCCCACGTTGCTGCTCGCACCGCGCGCGCGCGCGAGCATCAATCGGGCCACGAGTCGATTCAGCGCCAAAGGGAGGTCGGACAGAAGTTACAAGTCAGAGAGTATAGTTAGATGTAGGCAGATACGCGCAAGGAAGATCGTCATCAAAGTTCATGTCATTTGTAAACGGCCCGTCGGTGTTCGTGCTAGATCCAGGAGCGCGCAGCTGCTATGCGCCAGCTCGACTGGTGAGATACAGTTTGGAGAAGACTACAAGAGGAGACGAAGCATTTTGAATGATGATGGGAATAGGTAGGGTATCAAGTTTCCTTTTGACCCCTTTGTCGTCGAACAAGTCCTCCGCTTACTGAGAGGTGAAGCCGACTTGACGGGTGCTTCTGTTGAAGGTGGCACGAACGTTTTGGAGCCAGCTGTCGCCAGTGACCCAAGCGTTGACGCCGACATCGCCTCCAATGACAGAGAGCACGCAACGGCCGTCGTTGGTCTGACCGAAAGATGTCGTCGCGGAAGAGAGAGCCTTGGTGAAGCTGCCAAAGGTGAAGGAGACCTTGGGGGGCCTGGAGCAAGTGTAAGCGCAGTAGGTGGAGCCGTCCTGGGTGAAGGTGGAGCCGCCGACGTTGTTGCAGAGGTTGGCAGCGTCGCTGTTGGGCGCAACAATGACAGTTGTTCCCGTGTCCTGAATAGACTCGAAGCTGATGCCGTTGACGCGGCCGGGAATCTGCCAGAAGCCGTTGGAGGTATCAACGTTGCTGTAAGAGGGGCTGCCGCCGGACACGCCGCCAAGGAAGAGAGTGGAGCCGCTGCCGGCCTTCAAGGTGAAGGTGAAGACGCTCTGGTCGACCTTCTTCTGGTTGATGAGAGAGTCGAAGAAGGGTGGGTATTGAGAACCGAATTGGCTCAATGCAGGGAAGGACATGCCTGCAATACCCTGGTTGTTGGCATCAGTCAAGAAATTAGTGGTAGCACGGCCGATAGCAACCTTGCTGGCCGAGATGCCTGCGATGCTGAAGCTATCAGTGTAGACGGTGCCGCGGGCGGTGGTACCATCTCCATAAGCCGCGGTCCAAGCCCTGCCGGTGTTGGTGGAGGAAGAACCGGGTGTGTAGGCATCGCGGTTGACGACGAGATCAGCGGAGCCGGTGTCGAAGTCAATGGGGATGGTCTGGCCGCCAAAGACGACGTTGCCGTGCCAGAGTTGCTCAGACTCGTCCGTCAACGCGACGGTGCCGGTGGCGCGCTTCTTCAGCTCCTCGGGCAGCTCGCGACGGAGGGGGTGCTCTGCGCCAGTGTTCACCTTGAAGTTGTTCAGCGTGCCCTGGTACTTGTTGCGCAGACTGCAAGAGACAACGAGAACGCATCAGCAATGCGTCAGTGCGCGGGAGGTGCCTCGCATCATTGCAAGCTTACCTGGTGACGTGAGCCGCAACCTTCTGGAAGTCGATGACGTTGCTGTCTGCGTGCAGCAAGCTGCTGCGCTTCTCGAGAGGAATCTCGATGGCCTCGGAGACACCGGGGGCAGGTGCAGCGAAGACCAGAGCAGAGGTGGCGATGAGGCCTGCGACGAAGGAGAGGCCGAGTTGCATCTTGAACGATGTGGGGGGTCGGGTTGCGGATGAAGTGTGGTTGTCAAAAGGGCTGCAAGTGCAGGGTTATAGAAGAAGTAAAAGATTTGATGGTGATGGGGGTGTGAGGAAAGTCGATGTGAGGCAACGACGAAAGAGGGCTTCCTTTTGTAGGCCATCGCGCTCGCTGCTGAGCAGTCCATCTTGATGGGCCTGCTCCTAACGTTGATAGTCAGAGCAGAGAGGGCGCGCTTCCATACGGACAAATGGCCGGATCTGCTGTGTTTCTAGTACACGAGGCAGCGCAGCACGAATCATCACGTCCTCTGGCAGCTGGTTGCTCAGAAAAGCAAGTCTCCTGGGATCAGCCTTGAAGCGATAAGAGGGCGTCATAGTCCCTGTTGAGAAGAAAGGGCCGATGCAGCGACTAAAGTCTTAGCGTGGTTCTATCGCGGGTTCCACATTTAGCGCTCTCAATGGGAGTCCCTAGCACGGACCTACGCCCTCCACTGCGCAGAAGCACAGCAGAACCTGTTGCCGCCGGCTATTTGAACTCGCGTCTACCGGCCAACGGTCATCGACTCACGTAGTCCTTGTGTCAACCTTCGTCGGGCTCATCCGGGGCGCTGTCCACCAGCAAGCTGCTTTGCGCTAGTGCGGTCATAGAGATCACCTTGCAGGAGAACGCGACCACGACCATCAAATTCAGAATGACGACTGCGATCTCACCAGCCAGCTACCGCTCGGTGGTGAAGGCACCTCGCGGAGGAGCTTAGCCCCGCCCGTACGAGACGAAGCGAGACCTTCTGTCATCGCTGGACATGACGTAGCAGCATAGCGTACTTGCTGACCTCTTCACTCGGTGATGGCTGTGCCGTCGGAGTGCCGCCTGTGTATGGCTCGCCACCGTCCATCGACTGGGGTTGAAGCGGTGTCGAGCTAGCGCAGTCTCAGCTTGAGGGAGGGCGGGCGATTTGCGAGTGTTTGCCCTGTCGCATTTTAAAGCCCGGGTGAGACGGACGGATGACCGTGGGTGGAGTGTTTAAGGTGGGATACGATTCAGCGATAAGGCTCTGCTGCCTTGTGTCGGAGTCTCATAACTAGCGCGAGCCGCTAGCCCGATGCACACTCACGAATGTGGGTGACCACTTTAGACTTGCAAATCACGCACTGCAGATTGCGTGCTGTTGCAAACAAAGTTTGTGCACGAATAAAGGAGTTAGTAGGAAGAAGGCGAGAGAGGGTGTGTCGGATCTGCATTGCTGTAGAGGATGGTGGTGTGGCCGCTCCTGTGCTGTCCCTGTAACTGTACTGTAGCTCGAAGTTAGCCGGCGGATAAGATAGAATAGCGGGGAACGCGCATGCAGCATGCCGCTCTCTCCTGCGCCGGCCTAACAGCCGTGCGGCGTGCTCCAAAGCTGGCCGAGCCTTCTTTGGTTACCCTCTTGCGTGCTACTCAGCCCTCTGACGCAGCACAGCACCGCACCCATCGCAAAAGTAGGTCCGGTCCGTGCAAGCTCATCAGACTGTGACTGAAGTCAAAGAAAGACCCACAAGCTTGCCGTTGCGGCGAAGCGTCGGATGATCCGTGCGTGCTGCTTCCCGCAAAGATCTCCGGCGACCGTGTGAAGGAAGCAGCGGGGCTATCTCTGCGACTCGCGTCCACGCGCACGACTTGACCTGCGATACGACCAGCAAGGCCACCTGGCTTGACACACGCTCACACACGCGAAGGTTGAGCCGCGCTCTAGTTCACAAATGTGAAGATAAGGATGGTTGTGAGAGCGTTCATCATTGAGCCACCGCGCACGCTCGCGATAAGTCGTATGAGCCGGCGGTTTGCGCATCACATGGCAGCTGCGCCCGCACCCATCTCGACGTGCGGGCGCAATTTCTTGGGCGTCACTTGCGGCCAAGCTACTGCCGTGGAAGCGTCCCAGAAGGCGCCATCAGGCGCCGTCGTGGGCGCGAAGACCATGTGGACATGGTCGAGCGCACGAAGCCGACACTTTGACTTTGGAGGATCCTTCATGACTGTATCCGCGGCAACAGCGCAAATCACAAATGATGACATAGTTAGAGTGAAGCCTTGGAGGCAAGCTACAGGTCGTTGCGGTCGCGCGCACGGTGTCGATCGAATGGAAGTCACGAGTGCAGAACGCGCTCGCAGACTGATGAGACTGTGCGGACACAACAGCAGTCACGAGTAGACGCACGCAGCATCCATGTACCGTACAGCAAAGATCCTTCCTGCAAAGCGCCGGGAGAAGCGCCGGCAAGGACTTCTCGCTGCGTCTGCAATCTTGTTCCCGCATGATGCTGCTAAATGCGCCGCTTTTCACCCGCGCTGTAAGCATCCCGGCCAAAATCACGAGTGTGCACAAAGTCCTGTTTGCATCGTCACTTTGCTTCTTGCCAGCCTGCTGTCGAGTCGGGTGTTGGTCGACAGGGTTTGGAGTCTTGAGTCTTGAGTAGCGACGCGCATCTTCCCTTCCTCATCAGTGTGCACCTGCACGCAGCTTTCCCGCCGGCCCGCTGGAAGACCTTTCGTCCGGAGCTGGAAGCGGAGCACAAAGCGGGGCTCGAGCATGATCCTTGCCTTTATTTGAACAGCTGCTCTCGACTCTTCTAGACTGCCAGCATAACGCACCGCCCATCTCCACCGACTGCGGGTCCTGCGCGCTACAACATTTGCTGTGCTGAATAAGGTTAGACCGACGCGGCAGGAGCGGGCCCCTCTTGCTAGCAAAGCTTTTAGCTGGCGTCTGTTCTTCTGGTAGCGTTGCACAATAGCTGACGGCGAGGCATCGATGGAGAAGATCACAAGCTCACTGCGCCGTTCATCCACTCACGCACGCTCGACACGGATATCCATCCGTATCTTCCGCTTCAATTTAACCCCTGCTTCTAAAGTGCAAAAGGCGGGCCTATGCTATTCCAAATTCGGTTGCCCGCTCGACTTGGATCCTCGCTTTGCGTTGAGTTGCATACCCAATTCTTCTAGCGCGCGACGGTCAGCGTGGGGCCGCTTTGGAGTGCGTGCGCACAAAGATACGGATCTGTGATCGTCATCACAACGCCCGGTGCCCTGCGTGCGGTGCGTCGTGTAACGAGGAACGCGTAAGCCTGTGCTTCCACCTTCCTCTCCAGCAACGTGATACTGGCATACAGGCGAGAAGTGCGGTGGCCAGCACGAGCCGGACGAGCGAGAAGGGACGCATGCTTTGCAAAATTCTGCCTACAAATCGTTGGGTATGAATTTCACAGTTTCTTGCCCAGAAAAATCTTCTCGACTGAGCCATCAAAGCAGCCCGGCACGCGGTAGAGGACGTCGTAGCCGCACTTCTTGTAGAAGCCCTCAGCTTGGAAGCTGAATGTGTTCACCGTTGCAAAGGTCGCCCCGCGCTTGCGGCCGAGCGCGTCTACCGCTGTCATGATCTCACGTCCGAGCCCGCTGCCTCGATGCTTATCAGCAACCCAAAGAAGCTTGACTTTGAGAACCCCACCGGCAGCTTGGAAATCATCCTGGTGCAATCAGCGAGGATGCCATCATCTGGACAGGCCTTGGCCAGCGCTGCAACTCACAGTGTCCAGTACATCCGGCAGAATACTTCGTTGATATCGGTACTCCTTGGTCATCTTGTTCGTGAAGCCCCACAAAGAAGGGCACGACGTCGTAGATGAAGCCGCTGAGGGTGTTGCGGCGGTAAGCGGTCCGCGCAGCGCCCGCCGCTTCAGAAACGGACGACTCCGTCATGTACAAGCCTGGGCATAGACTCAGCACTTACTGCTGCTTGCTGCAGTCATCCAAGGCAGCTCTCACCGCCTCACCTGCCCCCTCGGGCACCTTGTCAAGGATGAGCAGCTCGTGCCTTATGCTTGCCATCCTGACTGTCCACGTCCAGCGCTTGAGAGCTCTCGTCTCGAAGATAAGACTGAGTGTCTGGAGCGCACGAAATGGATGACGCCGGATGGGTCAAGAGGTCAGAAGGAGCGAAAGCGAAATCGGTGCTAGAGACCGGCGTAAGCCTGGTTTACAAACCCCAGGGCGAAGACGGTTGCAGAGTCGCAACGCGCCGACGACGCTTATAAATTCAGTAGGGAGAAGGGATAGAAGATGCGTGGATCTAGCGTTGGGCTTTCGCAGTCAAACAGCGAATACACTTAAATGAGAGTGACGAGTGCCAGGTCCGTTGTGGACAAGGCTACAGTCTTGAGTCGTGGACTGGTTGGTGAGCGTATGCAATCTCCATGGCAGGTGTTGTTCTGGCGCTGTGTAGAGCCGCGCCGGCAAGGGTTAAAGTCAAAGTCAAGAAAGCACGTGAGTCGCGGTACCAAATTCGTCTTTTGCGGCGTCACGTGATGCGCCCTCGTCGCGGCACGCAGATCGGCGCGTGACGGGCTTCATGACGTCAGCCAGGGTGCTCTGCACGAGGGCACGCACCCCGCACGAGCCCACACGCTTGTGTCTCCGCCGTTTTGGGCATTCATATGCAGCTATGCTAAGCCACAACAGTCGTGAGTCGTGAGTCAGGAGTATGCACAGCTACACACAAGGGACGACATGGATCGAGCTGCTGCTGTGATCGCAGCCCGCCTAGCCTTGAGCTTTCCCTGCAGTTTGGCAAAGCGGCCGCCCGCTTCAGACAAAGGCCGGATGGCGGAGTAATGGAAGGGCGCTTGACCGCTGACGCCAGCGTACGCGCGCTTGGCAAGGCGTGCTACAAGGCGGCTGCCCATGAGAAGGAGGAGGAGGAGGAGCAGCAGCAGCAGCAGCAGCAGCAGCAGCACGGTACACCCCAAGACCGGACGGACCCTAAGCAAGCCGACTTCGCCTCATCGAAGCTGCTTCTTCCTTCATTGTTCCACACCACACACTCGTTCATATCGCTTAGACGTGTGATTCCCACTCACAAAGTCTTCAACCCTTCGCCCAAGATGGTCTCCGCTGCTGAGCTCAAGACTGACAACACCTCCCGCGTTGGCCTCGTGAGTATATGTCTGTCGCTTGGCTTCACAGAGCGCCTGGGCACTGCTGAGCGTATGATATAAACGCTTGAACGAAGTGTTCGCTGACATGAGCAATCCACTTGCAGGGCCTCGCTCGCTCGCTCATCACCCCTGATGCTCGCACCTTCACGCTGCTGGCTTGGGGCGCCGCATTCGGTACAGCCGTCTGGCAAAACTTCATCAGCGCTCCCATTGCTTACAGCACCTTGCCACGCAAGTCTTTTGGGGAGCTGCAGGTGAGTGTATGCGCACACCATTGATTCTTGGGACAATCGCCAGGCTCATCCTTGACTCTCGTTCTTGCAGGCTGCTTCGCTGCCCGCCTTCTTCACCCTCCAAGCTGGTGCCGGCGGTGTACTGCTCTACTCTCACCTGCGTGACTACCCCTTCATCAAGCACACCGGTTTCGATATTCTTGACCGCGCTACTTACGTCGCATTGACTCTTGGAACCACGATCGGTTTGAACCTTGCCAATCTTTTCATCGTCTACCCTGCCACCACCAAGCTCATGAGGGATCGCCACCGCCAGGAGCGCGCCGAGGGCAAGGAGGCTGATGACCCCACTGTACGTCCAGCAATCTCGGCTATGAGAGCGGCGCGCGCACAAGGCGCACAAGAAAGACTGACATGCATCTCTACTCTCCTTGCGACAGGCCTCTGACAAGCTCAAGACTCTGTCCAAGGAGTTCATCGCTTCTCACAGCCTGAGCGCTGGCCTCAGCCTGGCTGCATTCGGTGGCCTCGTCTTCCACGGCTTGGTGAGCACGGTAGTCGCTAGCTTTATCATTGCAATCTCGCTGATACCCCACTTTCCTCTTCCACTTTCCTCTTCCTCTAGTGGCTCGCCCGCTACGGCTTCTCCGAGGCCGCAATCAAGAGATTGGGTTGAGCAGATCCTTCCACTCGTGACTAGGCCGTTTGAGAAACAACGGACACGAACCGTAGAGTAAACGAGACGCTGGGAAGAACTCCATTCCGCAATGATGAAACACATTCAGATTGCCTTCGCAGCCGTGATACTCCCGAATGTAACCCTTGAGCCCGAGAAAGCGAGCTGCGATCCTGCTCGGAAAGGTACATTCGCTCACACTGCTAGCAAGGCGACCGATGGGTATTACATGGAGCTGAGAGACAGCTCCGGAGATGTGCGCAGTGCGACCTAACAAAGTTTTGACAGGATTCAAGATGGTAAAGAAGAGAGAGGAGAGTGGTTCGAGCAGCGTGGCACGGCAGCCGTCCTGCACGAACATCGTGACCGCAACCGTGCCAATGCGCTACCGAGTTCAGAGCCATCAAGGCATGCTGCACAGGGTAGCGTAAGCGATCGTCGGCCCACCTCAAAATCAGAGAGGCGGCGGGAAAGTAAAAGGAACCAATTGAAAGAGCGTGGGGAGGACTGGACAGAGAAGGTTGAAAATCTCGACGGCGCTGTGTATCGCCTTCCACAGAGGCAAGGCCAATGCGAAGTCTCTATAGTCTGTGACCAGGCACAAGCGTGAAAATGACGGTAAGAGCAGCGACAATCAGAATGACGAGGAGCAGGACACCGCCAGCCCTCTTTACGAGCAGCCGCTTGACGTAGGGCTCCTTGACCTTGATGAGGTGGAATGGCGTCGTTTCGCTCCTCATCGCGATGACCAAAAAGGGATCGAGCTCGTACTGATGGGACATGATCAAGATGATGGCGACGCTGAATGGTAGGATGACCCAGAGTCGCTTGACGTGGCCGACATCCAGGAAGATGAAGCTGAAACCCGTTGCCAGACCGGCCCAGAGCGCCAGCAGACCCAAGCTCAGGCGGACCAGCGCAGAGATGGGTGTCAGATTGCCGAAGGCTTTGTGTCGCAGGAAGCGAGGAAATACGTCTGCTTCCATGGTGCGGAAGACGTACCTACGGGCGACCAAGCAAATGCGATTAGACTAGAGCAGACACAAGGAAGAGACCGTGACTCACTCTTTCTGCGAGTGGAACATGTCCGGCACGCGTGCAAGAGCTCGTTGCTGCTCGTCATCGTGTGGGTGAGGCAGTTGAGTGCTCGAGATGGGAAAGTGTGGAATACGCAGTTGAGGTGGGAGGTAGATCTCCTTCTCGCTTCCGGGTAACAGGTACCTCGCATATATGCGCTCTGCCGACGCGATCAAGTCCACTCTGCTGATTGCCGTATTCCTAGCGAGAACGGTAGGTGCAACGCTTGCCCTCTTCGCAAGGTTGCTCCTGCGTTGCGACCTCGTTTCGTCCTGATTCTCACCGCTCTGAGGCCTCTCAGATCCAATGTCGCCCTGCCCTTCAGCTCCAGGCCCACGCTCGCCGAAACCCTGAGGGCCAGACCTGTGGAGCTCGCCTCCGTCAGCTTCCCATCCCGGCTGGTTCCAGGGTTCTTCCTTATCATCCATGCTTCCCCTCTGCTCTATGCCATTGACTCGATTATAGATGCTTCCCCTCTGACGCGCCTCCCTGTAGTACCCAGGCCAATCATCGCGCACATCCACCCCGGTACGTTTCAGATCTTTGAAGTAAGCGCGGCAAAGGTTCTCATGCTGCTGCACGTCAAGCCAGAAGTCGAGGCTGTCCTCGCTACCTTCCCGTTGCAGGAACAGATAGTAGCAGTACAGGTCGACAGGAGGCAAAGTTCGTCGAGCCAAGACCTCTGCTAGGGTCGGCAGTCGCTTGCGTGAGGCTGAAGATGACAGGGATAGAGTGCGTTGGCCAGAGGGGGACGGCGTCTCCCTAGGTCCCTCGCGCGGCGGTTGCTTTTCGGTTGCCATGGTGTGTTTTGCGGACGCTGGGGTCCACGTGTTGTGAGGAGCAGCGCGCGAGGTCTGTCGCGATTAGCAGGAAGGTGGTCAAGATAGACGCAAGCAAGGGGTGGGATGGTTGTGACAAGCAGTCGAAGGTGCACTTGAGCCAGCGAATAGTGGCGGGCTGATTGATTGATGTGTTAGGATGGTGAGTTTGAGTTTGATGGTGTAAATACGGACGAGGACCTCTAAAAGAGCGTGTATCTGCGACCGTTGCACTGCAAGCAACGGAGAAGAGATGAAACTTGGTGCGGCGCCGCGTTCAAGTAGTCGGGTGTGGAACAGAGCACGCAAAGGGTCGAGCAAAGCGCCGATCAGAGTGCTTGTGCTAGGACCCGGATCACTGGGCAATCGTGAAGCAGGGACATCAAGGGGGGGGCAATGATGGTGGTAGTTGAAGTTGTCGGCCACGGGCTGATCACACGCTTGTTGTGATCGTTGACCCCTTTCACCCACTGGCACCTGTCCTCTCAACAGCCCTCAGCCCGTCTTGAAATTGACTCAACCGACGCGTCCCAGCCCGTTGCTCAGGAGACAAAGACGACAGACAAGTCAACAATGGGAATAATCTTGAATGACCGGTGTATTCGTAGAGCGGCGCTTTTGAATTGCTGCTTACAGAATTTTTGAAGGGCTCGGACGCGCATGCACTTGAAGACACGGCGCAGCCTTTCGTTACGTCAAAAGTGAATTGTAATTTTGACTTTGCTCTTAATTTGGCCGCGTAGAATTCTTGATACTCAACTGTGGCAGGGGCTCTGCTAGCCGAGGCAAGCACACTGCGCGCGTTCGCCTCTTGCCTGTTGCTGCTGCCTGCATGCAAAAGAAAGCTTCAAATTCTTCTTTCAGCAGCCCGCCGTGGCGCGGGGGCGATCGTGCCTGCCGTTCGTTGACTGCGCTAAATCAACGAAAGCCTAACGCTCTGCATGGCTGTTCGCTGCTCCATGCAGCAGGTCGATTCAATGATTGGATGGCGTAAAAAGCCAGCAGCCAGGATATTCACACAACCAAAGCTCAGGCTGCCTTGAGGTCAAAAGCGTCTGCACTTGCTGTCCATCAGACTACGCAGGGGATGAAGAATGACGCCGCGCGAACCGACGACGGCTCCGTCACTTGTGAGCGCAGCTCAAGCGGTGGACACACATTGGAGACAAAGGCGAGCCATTTCCGCACCTCGCCTCTCTCAACTCGGCGAGCGTGATTTGATCATGAGACAATTACAAAAAGGTCGCAAATCGAGCGCAAAGCGTGTGCCGTATGCCACGGACACTGAGACGTGGGCATCAATACCGAACGTCTGGTCCGTTATTGATCGCCTTGCGGTACTCAATCTTCTCCACCTTGACCTCTCCATCTATAAGCTGATAGACGTACGTGACTACTACAGCGCCTTGTATATCCAGAACTGAAAGTGAAGGAGATGTCTTTGTGTCAGTTCAAACGTCTGAAGCGTCAGCGAAGCGATTCGACTCACGAGCGAAGCTTGGCGTAGGATCTGGCGCCGCAATTGGCTCTACAGGAGGCTCCTTCTTCTCTTCGTCGTCATCTTCGTCATCCCCCGACTTTGCCTCTGCCCTTGTCTCTGACCCGTCCTCTTTCACATCCTCTGGTGTGGGTTTCCTGTCCGCCTCGTCCTTCTTCGTCTCCTGTGCGACTTCAGTCTTCGTCTGCTGTGCCGCATCACCCTCAGGGGACTTCTTAGTTGCCTCCTCCTCGTTGTCATCTGCTTTCTTCCCTTGCTCTGCCTCGGAAGCTTCGCGGGCCTTCTCAGGCTCCTCCTTCGTCAGTGGCCAGACGGCGCTCCATGCACCAGTAGCGCTGCCGGGGTTGATGAAGAATCTGCCTTCTGTCTCAAAAGCTTCGAAACGATGCGTGTGGCCTGATAGCAGAATGTCAGCATCCATCGCCCGAGCTACGTCGGCAAGGGCATCCGCATCTCCAGCAGGTACGACTTGGTGTCCGTGCAGCACGCCGATGCGGAGCGGTGGATGGTGCAGCAGAAGTGAGGTGGGAAAGTGTGGATTCTGCGAGTAGGAACGACCACGGGAGTCTGTGGTGAGCCAGCTCTCGTGTAACGATCTTCCATGTTGGCTTCGAAGTGACACCGCTCTTGGTCGCCGTTTGCAGTGCACTAAATGCGTTTGCAGTGCACTAAATGGACGACTCACCTCGTCCCAGTCACCCTTGACAACGTGCACATCTGCTGCCAGCGTCCTCAAGTAATCGTACGTGTCCTTATCGCAGACATTCCCAGTGCAGATGATCTGCTGTATCTTTCCCGGCACCAAGAGCTTTCTGAACTTGCTAGGCAGGTCGTGCGCTCTGTGCGGGAGGTGCAAGTCGCCTGCAAGAAAATATGGCATTCAAGAGGTTGAGCTTATGCGCGAGCAGTGTACCCTGAGCTGATGTAGCTCACCAATGACCAAGACGAGCATCGTCGCACGGGGAGTCGAGGCAGAACGGTCGTAGTACGCGGAATTTTCGTTCGTTGAGGGCTTGATCTGGCTTCGGTCGGGTGGGGACGGCCCTTGAGCAATCCTTGGTCGACGAGGCTTCAGATGCTGCAAAGTGTTGAGACTGCAGCGTCGCTAAAGTTCGACTGCACCAATAATGTATGCGATGAATGCTGCCTCATCACTCAAACCTCAGTAAGTGTTGGACCTATGATCAAGGCGCTTGATGCGCATGCAAGCGAAGCAGAGGCTCGCAGGTTATGAGCATGGTAGAGGCAAGAAGGTGTGAGTGGGCTGAAATACGACTCCTTACTACTACATATTCTCAATTGATAGGAGACTACGATTCCTTGACTCAGACTCAAGACAAGACTTACGCACGCCTCATCTCCTCTCACGTCTCTTTGACAGATGATCGCGTCGAGTGTCACGTTTCCATGTTCGGGTAAGATGTCCGTGCGCGCCTCAAGATCTGGATGCGGGGCAGCAGCATCAGCTGCGTGACTGCTTCTGCTTGCAGAGCGCGCTTCGTGGCGAAGTGGGCCACACCCGCTCAAGCATAGAGCATACAGGGAGGGAGGTACGTGGGGCAGTGAGACGGTCCAGCGGCTCAGACGAGATCTTGATCGTCTGCAGCACCACCATATACACTTGCCTACTTGTGCCACCGCTCCTCTGCATCCTCAGGAGAAGCTCGCCAGCTTGAGTGAAGTCCAATTCAAGCGCACGTCAAGGCGCACCGACTGCCAGCTGCTACTTCAGTGCCCACCGCATCACCTCCCGCGGCTTCTCCCACAGGGTGACCAGTATGGCCTTCTCGCTAGCACCAAACGCTCTCCCTCGAAGGCTCGCAAGCTCGCACTTCACGATCCTAAGCTCACCGCTCCGCGCTGGGCTCGCTACCCGGAATGCTCCTCAACTTCAGGCCAAAGGCTACCACGCATCCACCGTTAGCCGAAACCAGAATGCCGAGCCAAAGCAAGGCCTCTTCAAGGTGAGTAAAACATAAGCTTGCCTTGCGTCGAGGAGCGCTCACTCTGATGTTGCCATCACCTCGCGCCGCCCAATCACTTCCCTTTTCCTAGTCTTTGCTGCACGGCTCCGACACCGCTCGAGGCGAGGGCATGACTGCGCAGTCTCACAGTACAGCGGTGGGCAGGAACAAGTACGTGCACGAGATCTCTCGCGTGGCTGTCCAGCCAGCACACGTCGAGGAATACAAGAAGGTTCTTGCAGAGCATCTGCCAAAGATTGCCTCCGATCCATCCCTTGGGGCCCGCTTGGTTGGAGCTTGGGAAGTTGTTGTGGGCGATCTCGAAACTTTCTGTGAGTAGCTTCAGTCTGCCGCAAAACCTCCCACCCATCACAGTCTTGCATGTGCTCGCTGCCTTCCAAATGAGCGCTTTCTCCCGTCGCTCTTCCCTATGGCATCGCTCGTCTCACGTCAACTCATGACTGCGCTCATTATGCAGATATGGTTTGGGAATTTGATGGCTATGCGGGATATGATGCATCTACCAAGGCCCTCGCCCAGTCCGAGGTGAGTCACTCAAAATCTTCATCAGAACGCCTCTTACGCTCATTCTTGCTGATACTCACACATCACTGCGTCGCAAAGGTCTGGAACTCGCTGCAGCGTTCAGTCAGGCCTCTCATTGCCAGTCGCAGCAATTGGATGGCGCAGGAATTCGGCTTTTGGCAGACCAGTCCACCCAATGACAAGATGGGCGGCATCGTAGAGTGGAGGACATATCATCTCAAGGTAAGTTCTAGGCGATGCATGAGTCCAGCACATATAGCACGAGGCTGCCCTTACACTGAACGCCTACCTGCCGCCCGTCTTTGCTCACTTCTCCGCTCAGCCGGGCATGCTGTTGGAGTGGGAGACCAACTGGCGCCGTGGCCTCGAGGCGCGAAGGAAATTTGTAGAGCCGGTTGCGGCTTTCTTCACACAAGTGAGTTGGAAGTGGAGTCGCAAGGCACATCTGTTTCTGCGCTGAAGCGCAATCATCTCCCATGCCGGGCCTCAGATCGGTGGTCTGCACACGGTTCATCACCTTTGGCATTATCCAGACTTGGATACCCGAAAGGTGACGCGCGAGGCCGCTTGGCAAGTCGAAGTGAGCTGCAGCGGCTTCGTCATGACTTGTGTAACCATTTTTGAGCTGATCGAAGTGTGCCACCGCTCTCTCTGCGCTCAGACCTGGAATGACACGGTCTCGCAGACAGTCAAGCTGATCGACAAGATGCACGCGCAAATCATGAAGCCCCTACCTTTCAGTCCGCTACGATAAAGTAGCAGGGCAGGTAGCGATTGAGCCGTCAGGATGGTGAACAATCCTTGAGTAATGTAGATGGTGCGCTCTTGTTCTGCAGAGAGCGATTGATCTTGATGTGCCGGTATCGCCGAATTGATTCGCTCCTAGTATTGGGACACTTGACGTTGAGGGTTGCGCCATTCTGTTACCATCTGGACATGCACCACCCCAATCGGCAGAAACTTTACAGCGCTTCGATTGGTGGGTCGCGGTATTGTCACAACCATTTTTCTAAGATCAAGTTGTGACAATACCGCGACCCTCGCGATTGGCTCGGCGCAAGGCGCTCTGTGCTCGTTGAAATCACAAAAAGTCCGTGCTGCACTCGCACCACCACCACTACTACTGCTGCTGCTGCTGCTGCTGCTGCT